CCACTGGTTTTATTTTTGTTTACCCAAAGCATCCCCAAATATTGGTCACATGATGAAATACAACCAAAAATGAAGTCCTAATGAAGGTTTCAGGCTTGGGGTGTCAAAGAGAGAAACAAATAAATCTGAGAGAGCCAGACAAGAAACCACACAGACAGCCACATACTCCAAACAAGGCTAAAGTTAGTAAAGGAAAATATAGCAACCCAAAGCCAGTCACATCGTGACCCATAACAGCCTACAGAATTAGACAGTCCGTCCACACAAACAGATCTGGGCTCTTCAGATCACCCCACATGCTGAGTGACAGCCAAGATTTTGTTTTATTTAAGAAGAAAAAAGTTCAAAGACCTTTTAGTCTATAAAGGATACTAGTGTTTGATGTCTTTGGGCCCAAATTAGACGAGGATGAGAAAAGGAAAAGTGTTACGGGGTATTTTAAGGTTTCTTATTACTACCAAGGGGAAGGGTCAAGGCAAAGTGCCAAGGTTAAGACAAAAACGGGCATCTAAAATTCCAGGGCTGATTGTTTAAAAAAAATAAAGACCAGCAACTTTCAGCAACAGTCTTCTTCGTCTTACCTGATGAAATGCTGCACAGGCCAAAGGGGAAAAGGCAGCTACCTCCTGAGGTACCTTTTCTAGCCCTTCATCAGTTTTGACTATAATACTTCACTTTTTGAGTCATATCTGCATTAGTTCTTAACCCTTGTTTGTGCCAAGGATCCTCTTGGCAGTCTGATAAACCCTATCATGCCTTTTTCAGAAAAATATTTTTAAATGCATAAAATACAACACAAAGGATTAAAAATGACATCAATTATACTTAGTTATCAAGATAGTTCTAAATTATGATGCAATAATAGATATACTTCTGGATTACCAACTAAGTAACAAATCCAGCAGCAGGTCTATTTGTTACCAAATGCATAATGGCATGAAATGCTAAATTTTAGTTTGAGTAGAGTAAAAATAAAGGTGTATTTTCCCCCCATTCAAGTTCAAGGACTCCCTGGATTCTATCTGTGGACCCTAGGTTAAAAATCTTCGGTTGAGATAGCCAATAAAAATACATTTTGTGAAGCATCAAATGAAAAAGAAAGCCTTGCAAAATGCATGATCCATTCAACTGTGAGGAGTAAGCACTATTTTTTTCCAAAAACCATGATGGGCCATTAGTCAGCAAGAGAGCTGCATGTTTCAAATTGAATCCAGAAAGAGATTCAGCCCCCCTCATGCAAGTTACAAAAAAAAACAACAACAAAAAAAAAACTGAACATTTGCTGGAATCTGCCCTGACATGGGGAAAACAGTGACCCGGCAGTGCAGTGACCCATCTCAACTCTGAACTTGAACAAATCTCCTTCCTTCCCAGAGTCTCAGTTTCTTCATCAGTAAAATAAAAGGGCTGAACATGTACCAGTATCTTTTAGGGCCTTTTTGGTTCTCAAACTTCATCACTGGATCATCTGTTACTTACGCTGGTTATTTCAGCCGACTAAACTTTATTTCAAAACATCACTTCCTTCCTTAGACTTGGAACATAAAGTTTTACCAAATTTTAAACACCCTCATGTACAACTTAACGCCAATGTGCCAAATATATGTACACCATTACAACTTCAAAAAACACCTAGTTGCACATATCTACTTCAAAAAAAGTAATCACAACATCAGTCTTTTCTGCTGTTGAAACACAGTACCCATTCAAATCCTAGCACCATCACCTTAGGAATATACAAAATCTACACATGCTGGGCTACCTGGAAGATGTTAACTATACATTGTCCACATCTGAGTCAATGAACAATATTACAGGGTGTAGTCCAGAAAGACCCTTGGTAACTATCTAATCCAGTCATGTTTCATTACTGCCACAGAAACAGAGAGAGGGTGATGGACTAAGCCACTCTCATGAAGCCAGTGGGCAAGAAAGCAGGAATTCAATCCAGGTCTCCTGGCTGCTGGTTCATCCTCTCCCCACAAACTATGCCGCACTGCCTCTCAAATCCTGACACACGTCCTGAACTTGAACATTTGAGCCAGGTCTAGAATTCACAACAAATAAGACCTGACAGGTAGACCAGTCATTTTCTCTGCCTTCAATTACATAATGGACACAACAAAGAGTTGTGGCTATGCTACATTTGTGGATTGGAATCATGAAATAATTAAATTCCACCAATCTGCCAAGAAAATGATGACCCTACTAAAATCCTCACTAGCTGGCAATTCCCTTAATATTGCATAACAGATAAAAAGACACAGTATTTGTATATAGAAGTTGACATACACATATATTGCTCCTCAGCATGCTTTCCAGGATTTCTTAGCAACATTTTACTATGAATTTAGAAGAGAACAAAAAGACAATTATGCAAGTTTTTTTAATGAAGAATGCACTGTATTTTATAAGCCAAAGCTTCTATCAATATCAATACTGAGCATCTTTAGATCTCAAAATTAATTTTATCAGCAAGAAAATCTACTAGAAATTCTCCACCATTATTTATGTCCTAGAGGATTAGACATGGAAAGTTAATAACAATTTTTATTTGTTCATCATTGTTGTTTTAAGAGGGAGGGCACTGTCTCAAGTCCTGAGAGTGGAATAATGATTAATAAGGGTCTCTTTAAAGTCTACCACCCTTCTCAGTATTTCCCCTGCGTTCTTCAATGTGTCCCATATTGCTAGAGTCTGAAACCTACTCTCGAAAATAGAAAAAGGCCACAGTTTTCCTCAAGTATTCCAAAACCAGATTAGCATCTTCTCAGGTTCCAGTCTCAACTCACCTTTCACTTCCTCAGAGAGACCTTCCCTGACCTCCTAGCTAAAGAAAGCAAGACACGCCTAAAGCAGACATTTCCTAAATTCACCCACCTCTGTTAAGAACTTGACAACACCTGAGACTGCCATTTATTATTCATTTGTTTACATGTTTCCTTGTTTATAACTGCCACTCCACACTAAAATGAGGGCTCTGTGTTCACTGCTGGATCCTCCATGCCTAAACAGCACTGGCACATAGTGGGTGCACAAATAACTGCTGAGCAGTCCAAAATATTAAAGTAAGTGCCAAGTATGTCATACTAAGCGTCTCCTGGAAAAGCATTCATAAAGGACAGAGCACACGCAACGGGCAATGCATTTACATAGCCTACTTTAGAGTAAGCCTGTGACAGGAGGACAATCCAAGGGATAAATCCTTTTCGGGGCTTTGCAATGCCCTGCACTTTTAGCTCTGAGCACAAAACCCTCTCCAGGCCCGCTCACACAGGGCTTTCATGAAACATCTCAACGTTGATTTCCTCAAAAGGAAATAATGAAATAAAGTTCTGGCCTCAGTTAATCTTTCGTGTCAGGTTCACAATGTTAAACATACTTTGAAGCCAGCCACGCAAACAAAACTAAACTGCACAATATTAGGCTGGGCTGATATTACATAAGACAAGCTAAACTCCGGCTTTTTTTTCCTGCCATTCCACTCTCTCTCCGGTGAACCCTGACATCTGCCTTTTAAGTGCAATTAGATGCAGGTGAGAGAAACGCTTATCGGCAAACAGCTTCAATAGGTAATGAGATTTACAATGATACTCCACCTAACACTGCAGCAACAAAGTAAAGAGGACTAGACAGCTTTGAGCTGTACTGTGTCTGGAAGCTTGTCTTAAAAATTTCTTCTCTTTAAAATTATTTTTAAGTCGGCACTTACTTCAAGGTATTCAGTTATCAAAACACATTTTTCAGAGTGTCCTGAGTTTTCCCATACCCATGTCTCTTCACACGTCTTCCATGCGCTAAGCCTACCTTTCAGCACCCATGATGCTGAGAATACAGGTCTTGCAACAGAGAGGGACAAAAGCGCGGGTTTCCGGGAGTGACAAATCCATAGGAAAAGCTAAGCCTTTCTCCTCCAAAACTAAACCCAAGTTGTTCCTTCTCCCGAGTTTCCCTCACTACCCCCTCCCCATTCCGCTCCCCTTTCACTGCCCACTTTATCCTGCTTTAATCTCCAGCGAAGCCTTTTTCCTGGCTTATTAAGGGTAAACAATAGAAATGTCACAAGGAAACTCAGGAAGTAGATGAAATCTCTAATTGCTGCCGTTTAACGATTGTAGATAATTACTGTCTTCAAAATGTGGTTTTCACAAGCGGAGAGGGAGCCGAGGCAGGCGAGGGAGGCGAGGCTGGCGGCTGGCGAGCTCCCCGCCGCTGGGAGGACGTCTGCGAGGCCGCAGCGCGGGACAGAGGGATGGAGGGGATGCGGTCCGGCGCAGCCAGCGGCGCTCCGGCTCACTACTGGGCGCTCCGGGTGGGAAGAGCCGGGGGCCGGCCTGCCCGCCCGGGTCACAGCCAGTTCAATGCCCTCCGGCTGAGGCTGCCGAGGCGGTCACCATAACAATATGCAAAATGCTGCCCGCGGTCGCCCCCCGCGCGGATCCCACTGCCCTCGGCGGCCCGAGCTGCTGCAGTGCCGCGCTCGGAGTTCCGGGCCGGGGGCTCCCAGTAAGCGGGGACAGAGGGCCCCCAGGGGCCTCTCAGCTTCGTCAAGTCCGGAGGTCTCCTTCGACACCGCGAGGCGTCTGTGACGGTAGCAACTCAGCCCCAACCCCCATCCCCTCTCCCCAGATGGGGACACGCAGGGAAGTCAAGTCCCTGTCCCCACGGTACTGCCGAGGACTTGGTCCCCGAGCGCTACGCCCCGCGGGGCGAGGGGTCGCCGCAGTTCGGCTCCGATCTGCGACTTGCTCCGCCGCCGTCCCTGGCGCGGATAGCGCATCCCGATACCCGCCGCAGCGCCCCGCGCGCGCCGATGGGGGCATCCTGACCCCGCGCCCGCCGTCCCAGCCCTCCAAGCCGCTTACGCTGGCCAAAGCGACCTGGAGATTCCTAGAGCCCCCGAGCCACCCTGCTGGCCCTGCTCCGGGATGCGGGCGCGCGGACCGAAGCGCTCGCCGCCTGCCCCCAAGCTCCCCGGGTCGGGGATCCCCCGGACTCACCCCAGTACCACCAGCTCCCCGTATTTCACCGGCTCCTTATTAGGGGCGCAGTGCTCTTCCTGGTCGGGGGAAAACATGGAGCCCCGCTCGGCCGCCGCCGCCGCCGCCGCCGCCGCCTCCGCCGCGATCCCCGCCGAGTCCGCGCCGCCGCTACAATCCCATCCTGAGAAGGGAGTGAGCGCGCCGGGGAAGGGCACGGCAGCGAAGGGGGCGCGGGGAGGCCAGTCCCGCGGCTGCTCCGTCGTGGCTGCGCGGCTGCCCTGTCGGGCTCTTCTGGAGCTCCGCGTGCCGCGGCCGTCCCGAGCCAGACTCCGCAACAAATGGGACCGGGCAGCAGGGGGACCTACCCGCGCCGAGCGCCGCCGACGCCGCCGCCGCCGAAGCCCTGGGGGAGGGAGGAAGGGAGGGAGCGAGCCAGCGAGGGAGGAGCGGGGGCAGCGGGGGAGGGGCGGGGACCGCGGAGCCTCCCGGCTGGCGTGCGGGCAGGTGGGAGCCGCCCCGCCCTCCGCGAGACGCCGCTGGCCCCCCGCCTCCCGGCGCCCCCTCCCCCGGCGCGTGGGGCCGCCCGCGTCCACTCCCCGCCCGCCTCGGGCCCGCCGTGGATCGCCCCCGTGTTATGTAAACATAGAGTAAAAGGGAAAGGAAGTTCTTAAAGGAGCAGCTCTATTTTTTTTCCTCGCTTCCTTCCCCAAACTTAACAGCGCGGGGTCCTCAGCCCCGGCCGCCGAGTTCTCTAGCGGCTGAAGGCTGCGCAGGATTCCGGAAGCACAGCGGTCAAGGTTTCCAAGCCCAGCCTAGTTTTCCCGGCTTTAGTTATCTGTAAATAAAAAACGCTCTCGGGGTATAAGAGCATTTGCTTTCCCGGTGTCAGTGTGTCGCAGGACACACCCAGAGGTGTCGCACACGCGCACCTGGGTACCTCCTCTTACAAAACCAAGTCCTTCAAAGCTTGAAGACGTCCAGAAACTTGGTGGGCTTTGCCAATTGGCACTGCATTAGAGAGTTTTGAAGGCAGTTGAAGCACCCTGCCATTGTGCAGAATTTAGAAAGCGCTTTGTGGTCAGCAGAGCTCCCCAAAAAAAGTTTTTTTTAATCCATAGTCTATCCACTTTTCCCATACCATCTCTCAATTCCCTAAGGAACTTAAGAAGAAATTATTTAGGTGAACTTTTTAGTGACTATAAATGTTCCTTTCTTATCATAGTTTAGCCAATGCATTATGTTTGTTTCTTATGCTTTTCTAAATAGTTACTACTATGGCTTTAAAATATTTTACAGCATAATAGATTTACTGACTGCTGTTTTTCATCATGCAGGATTTTATTGTTTTACCATTTATGAAGCACTCAGAATATGCTAGAAATGCTACATGTTATTGTCAGTCACAGCCTCTCAAGACTGTTAAATATTTAAAGAAATAAATACTGCTAAAACTACCCTATGCATAAACAGTGGCTGATCGGCTATGACCCTAAGAAAAAGGGCTAGAGGAAAAAAATAATTGCATCAATAACCTTCCATCGCTGTTCAGCACCCTTTGTCTAACATTCTCTGGCAGGTTATTACTGTAGTGACATGATGCTGCAGGAAATTTTACTTGTTAGTAACTGATTTTCTTAAATTGGGGCCTTAGAAATAAATTATTTCAAAGTAATTAAAGCCATAGCATTGGTAAGCCAAACAGGGAAAAGAATTTTAAAGAATTAACTTACTTCACCTAAGTATAAAAATTCTATACTTCAGCTGAACACAGCTATTCTGCATATTTTACATATTCTCTGTAATATATGTATATATACATATATATGTTACAGTTTTAACCAAGAATCCTTCACGAAAGGTTGACTGCCTTCTCATCACCAGTGTCTTGGTATGAATTTCTGTCTGAATTTCTGCTTGATTAATGTTGTCTTCATCTACCTACTCTATGCTCCTACTTATCACATAGCTGTGTGACTAGCAGAGATCTACCAGAATCATGCCGCAGTTATGACGCCTCCAGTTATTATAGTACCTGGCTCTGTCGTTCTAACTTCTCTAGGCTCACACGGTTGCTGCTATTGCTCTCTAGGCTACGATTACCTCCTCCCTCCTTCTCTATTGGCATGCTGTGCTTTTGTGCATTGCATCACGCTATTCTGGCTCCATTTCCTCCTTGCTGTGCTCTGCATCTGCTCTTAGGAAGATGGAAACAAACATTTATTAACCTCCTACTAAGTTCCAAACACTAGGCTGAGGGTTTCCCATAGGATGTCCCAATCTTTGCAGGACCTCCATTCTAGCTGTCTGCACATGATTCCCCTGATTCCCAGAGGGCCATCTCTCTCTGCTCTCCCTGCATGTCTTTGAGCTTGTTTTAAGTCCTTTATCAGGTCTGTCTTTATCAGAAAGAGTTACTTACAGGAAGCTTTGCTTTGAATAAGTTTTTGTAGCATTGAAAGCTTTTTTATCCTAGGCAATCAGGGCTGCAAACCAGTTTTGTGAATCACCTTGACACCTGAAAGCCTCAGGAATGCAGACAGCGGTCAGGAATAGAAATCTAAATGAGCAAAAGGGCTGAGTGAGGACTGTGGCAAATTGGTGAGACTATGCCATCTCAGAGAGGCATCGGCCACTCCTCTCCAGCTAACTGTTGCCAGGTGACAATAACATCTTACTGTTGCTAAATTTAACATTTTTAAAAAGCCCAAATCCTGAGTTTTATGCCAAATCTCCCAACTTTTAATTGTAGGCAACTCATTCAGATTTTTCTTTGTTTTAAGCACAGCGTGGGCCCACCAAAACCATATCTGTTTTCTAGATTGGGCCCAAGATCCCCCAATTTGTTTTGTCTGAGTTCAAGGAAATATATAAGTGAAAGTACAAAAACAAAAACATTTTTCAAGTGGAATCAAGTGGCAGGGCTGGGAAGGGAAAAGAGTGGTGGAGATAAATGATTTTCTCAGACAGTTGGTGGCTTGTGTCCCCGTAGAAGCCAGCTTGCACCTTTCTCTGTCCAGCCCTCATTAGAGATTTCTGTTCACAACTTAAGCCAATTACAACATTACCCCCACCGTCCCCTGCTGATATTAGGAATCTGATTGTAGCATGAATTTATCTCTTCTTGAATGTAATTGTTTTAGTTAGTAGCTGCGGGCTGGTGGGACAATCTGGCTATGCCATCTGCCAACCCACTGAAAGCCAGGGTGAGTTTGACTGACCCGGCTGCCAGGGCAGACCCCCTCTACCTTCCCTGCTTGCCACTCCATTTGTGTCTCTCCTAAACCACCCTCCTGAAGACCCACTCACAGCATCCCAGAGAGAGCTGATGCTGCTTCTTGGACTACGTATGGCCATATGTTAACTTCACCAATAAATAATGTCAGGCTTTCTCTTGGTATCTCCCCCAGGTTAGGTCTATCCCTTCTAAGCTGGAATGAAAAGATTTCATGAAGAAGTTTATGTTTGTCTTAACCATACCTTAAATAAAATCTATCAAATGCCTTCCAGTATCCCTAGAATAAACAGTCTAATGTTCAGTCACTCTCCGTTCTACCTTACATATTTATGTTTGCAAAGACTAAAGAGTAAGAAGATACTTTCAAAAATAAAAGTTTGGGCAAACATCTTTTTTTTTCCATGAAACTTTAGATCACATTTGATTTTTAAATTATATATAGATTTTTTTCTTGATTGCAAAAGTAATACAAGCTCCTTCTCAGAAGTTTGGAAAACATGAAAAAAAGGATTTTTTAAAATCTTATTTAAATCACTCATGGTCTCATTACCCAGAAACAACCCTATATAACATTTTTATGTATCTCCTTTGTCTTTTTAATTTTTAATTTTTTTACATATTGTGATATAATCACCCTTCACATAGTGTTATCCTCCCTTTTTTCTCTTAATAATACATTGTGAGCAGTTCTCTCTTGTCACTAAAACATCATAATTATTTTTGTTGTTTCATCATGTATATCAACATCTACTAACCATCCTCCTCTTATGAAACATTGGGAAGATTCCTAATTTGGGGTCTTCTAAATAAGAAACATATTTACAGTAGTCATTACTGCATGAGAAGAGTTTCCTACAAGTAAAATGATTACATTAAGGGGTATAAAAATTTAAGTACACTTTGATGCATATTTCCTAGGCGTTTTTCAAAATGACTGTGCCTGCCAAGTTATACTACAACTAGTAATAATGAGAGAGCCTGCCTCAGGGAACTCTCACCAGCATTTTTAATCCCTCACTAATGTGACAGGTGATAATTTTTATTTGCATGTTTTTATTACAATTGTGAGGTGCACTCACTTTTTTTTTTTAAATTGTGGTAGAAAACACATAACGTGAGATCTACTCTCAACAAAATGTTTAGAGTACAGTACAGGATTGTTTACCATAAGCACAATGTTGTAGAGCAGATCTCTAGAACTTTTTCATCTTGCAAGACTAGTGAACAGTATACCCACTGAACAGTAACTCATTTCTCCTTTCCCACTGCCCCTAGCAACCACCGTTGTACTGTCTACTGCCGTGAGTTTGACAACCTAAGATACTTCTTATCAGTAGAATCATACAGTATTTGTCCTTCTGTGATTGACTTATTTTTTAACAAACTGTCCACAAGTTTCATCCATGACACAGCATAGGACAGGATTTCCTTCTTTTTATGGCCGAATAATATCCCATCATATGTATACACTACTTTTTTTTTTATCAAGTCATCCATTGATAGACATTTACATTGTTTTCACCTCTTGGCTATTGTGAATAATACTTCAATGAACATAGGAGTGCATATCTCTTTGAGAACCTGATTTCAGTTTTTTTGAGTAAATACCCAGATGTGGGACTGCTGGATCATATGGTAGTTCTATTTTTAATTTTTTGAGGAAGCTCCATACTATTTTACCATCATCATTTTACATCCCCATCAACTGGGCACAGAGGTTCCAATGTATCTATATTCTTGTCAACATTTGCCATTTTTGGGGGTTTTTTGATATTGAACATCCTAAAGGCATGAGGTGATATCTCATTGTGGTTTTATTTTGCATTTCCCTGATGATAGTTATGTTCAGCATCTTTTCACATATCTGTTGTATGTTTATCTTCTTTGGGGAAATGTCTGTTCAGTTCCCTTGCCCATTTTTAAGTAGGGTTATTTGGTTTTTTGCTATTGAGTTATATGAGTTTTTTATATATTTTGGATAATAACCCCTTATCAGATATATGGTTAGCAAATATTTTCTCCCATTCTGTAGGTTGCCTGCTTCCTTTATTGTGGAGAAGCTTTTTTAGCTTAATGTAGTCCCATTCGTCCATTTTTGCTTTTGTTGCTGGTGCTTTTTGGTATCATATCCAAGAAATCATTGCCAAGATCAATATTACAAAGCTTTTCCCTTGGCTTTCTTCTAAGAATTTTACAGTTTCAGGTCTTATGTTTAAGTCTTTAATCCATTTTGAGTTGATTTTTGTGTATGGTGTAAGATAAGGGTCCAATTTCATTCTTTTGCATGTGATAGAGGTTGCATTGAATCTATAGATTGCTTTGGGTAGTATGGACATTTTAACAATATTAATTCCTTTAATCTATGAACACAGGATGT